CACAAGCTTTGTGCATAGACTAATTTTTCCTTTTGTCTGGATTTTGCTGCATAGGAACTCTGCTTAATTCTGGATCAGATGACTGATGTAAGTATTTGGTTGTCCCACCAAAGGAAGATTTGCCTTTAAATATCTGAAATATCTGTCATAGTATGCTTTCCTCCTATAGTAGTAGTAAAGATAAAAATCCATCTCTATCAGCTGACTTACGTGCTTTTTCCTTCTACACTTAACTGCAATATATTAATTCCTTTGACAGTCAATAACTACATATTTCAAGAGATAATTATTTCCCCCTATATGAATATGTTCCAAAGCCTTTGCAAAAGGTCTGTGAGAGGAAAAGCTCATTAGTGTGTTTAAACTTCTAAAGAAATGAAGTGTAAAGTGTATAGTAAGATGAAAAAGTATCCAGAAGGAGGGAATGTTACCCATGTAAGTTCAATCATACTAAAATTACTCTTTCATTTATTATAAAACCTGATTATTTTTTCCTAATAGAAAAATACGAATGAGTAAGATCTGCAATTTTTCTAAAGGAATATGGACAGAGCCTTTAAAGATTCAGTGGCGCTCAGTATGTCAAAACACTTGAGCAGCTGTAAGATCAGAACTCAAAGGCCGAGCAAGGATGCAGCCACCTAGGAGGCTGATTAAGGTAAAATTAAAAGTGCTTATAGGGGTTCTATTGTAGTTGTTGTTTAAATAATCCTATCTGAACTTAACCATTGTACTAAAAAAAATAATCAAGTCTTGCAAGTTACTTGTGCTTATGCAACTGAAAACAAAATCTATCGGTTGAGCCAGGTCCTTGGCTCCACTCCAGTAGTTCAAAACAGGTCTAGAGCCAGCTTAACTGCCCCAGCCATAACTATTTTCACTTTTCCAGAAACAGTTCTGCCAGTCATAGACCTGCTGAGACAGCTTACACTTCCGTACTTCTGAACTTTGACTCCCAGAACATAGGCAAAGAAACAAAAGACATGGGAAGTATGGACCTGCTCTGCAGTGCCTCTCTGCCTCTGGAATGCTCCCCCTGGACTAGGAGCAGCTGATTAATTCTTTAAACAACAAAACAAACTCCAAGATAATTAAACAAAATATTCACCATACCTTTTGGGTTCCCTCTCCACACTTTTTAAAAAATTTTTCATCTTTGGAGATAGGATAAAATAAGCATTGAAAAACTATTTAACTGATAGCATTTGCTTTTCCTTGGTCTTTAGTGAATCATCCAGGGTATCATTTTAGAGTTCCTGTTGCTTGTTTTACACAAACGGGCTCTCAAGCTTGTGTCTGGTGAGGAAGTAATGACAATTTGTGGAGTAATAAAAAAGGGCCAACATTTTATAATGTTGAAAACTGTTAATAATCAACATCAAAAGGTTATAATTTGTTGACAGTCATCTCCTTGATTTATACAGCTGGCTGCCCTACTGGCTCTTCTTTCAGGCTAACTGGAAGGTGCTCTGACATATGTGTCTTTATAGAGTGGTAACTCTGAAAACATACAGGTAGCAGCTATTCAAAACAATGGGTTGAACCTGAAGGCCTGAGCAAGAAGTACTCCAGGCAGTACATGCAATTTTCCCAGGTGAATGAATTAAGAGCAAAGGCCTCCAGGAGCAAAAATACCCACCAACCCCAAAACAAAACAGAACAAAAAGACCAACACTCTGTCTAGCAGTTGCCTAGAGCAAGGGGACAGAAATTTTGGTTTTGTGTTCCTGTTGCCTAGAGTAATGTAAAACCTTTACCCTTTTATAACTAGCAACAAATCCTGGGGGTGACTGGGTATTACACTGTGTGAGATGGAAGAAGAAAGAAAATAAAGAAAAAGCTCTTGAGGGCATTGAACGGGCCTGAGGGCCAAGCACAGGGTTTGGGAACAAGAAATTGCTTACTACATGTTTATTTACAAAGACTTTAAAGGAAGGGAGAGAGTTGATACTGCTCCTTTGTCCTCCTGATAGACATACTAATTCAAACTTTCCAATAATAACTTCTAAAGCCAGGAAGAAAATGGTATTTTTCCCTTTTATGACAATCAGATGTTTAATGGGAGGAACACTCAATGTGCATCTAAGAGATAGGTGATGGCAGTTATGAGGAGAACTTCACACCCTCAAACTAAACCTGTTTGGTTGCCATAGTAAGAAGCCTGAACAGTACAGGGATAGGTTTATAGTAATTTAAAGTGTAGTAGGTAACACATAAAAAACCTTTTCTAGAGATACCATAAACTTGTACAGCTTGCTTAGCAAAATAAAATGACGGCTAATGTTCTCCAAACACAGGCCTTCTAGGTTTGACTGAGAAGGGAACAGAACAAGGACACCTGAGAAAGATGCTGATTTCAGCCTGTTTAAACTGTTTCATTGATGTAAGTCCTCTGCTTCTGCAAGTACATGAAACACTGGTCCAAAGAAAGATTTTCATCCATACCCTATTTTGAAAGGTCAAGTAGCAACAGCAATGAACACATGACAGCCAAAAAAATTAAAAGGCAACA